GCTTTTACATACTAAAAACTCAATACCTGATGATTATCTCCACCAGCAGCAAAACCAGAGAGTCTCTCAAAATTCTACCATGGTAATGTTCTTGATCAGTAATATCCTTACTGTTAAAATGATTTATCCAGATTTATCTTAGCTACATAATTCAAACTTGTCTGTCAATATGATTCTGTCTTTTGCCATGTTGGAGAGTTGTCAGAATCACTAACTAGAAGAAGCCTGTAAAAGTTTTTGACTCTCTTGGCATCAGGTCTTCTATTAAATAATATTTGCAAAGTTTTGACGGCTACACATAATGTCAAAATGGCTATGTAGTTATCCTATTGTGATAAGTGCCTTCCATGGTCTTTTCCTTTATCAAAAGCTTTGAACATCCGACATAAAGCAGGGAATACTCTTTTCTACATAAACCTTTCCAAGTATTTCAAGGCTGGGAGCTAACCTTGTCTTCCTTGGGATAACATGTAGACTTTTTCAGTCTCAAAAAGGGTTCCTTTCAAATTCTGATATGAAATATGGTATGTGAATTTCCTTCTGCACTTAGGTTCTAAATAGAAAATAAAAACCACATTCTAGAAAGCACAAGGAAACACCAAAAATAAGATAGTGGGGGAGGCAAAGTTGAAAATACTGCATTTAAAGAGATAATCTGCATACAGTGTTCTCGACAGCCAAATTCTGGGCCTACGGGAGCATGCCTGCCCTGTCAGAGGCAGACAATAGGGTGGGTTATGTGGGAGGATGGCAAGGGAGCAGTACATTCATCTGGCATAATCTTGGAAAGGAGTGAACTTCTAACCATTAGTTTAGAATGTTGCTTTGCCTCTTTGCTAAGGTCACCAAGAAAGATCCTATTAAAAAAAAAATAGTTTCTTTCTTGAGTCAATCTCTATATTACATTGACCTAAGTTTAGAGAAAGCTTGCTAGTTGGACTCCTGAGACATTCTGAGCTAGCCTAACAGGTGTAAAGGGTCACAGAGAACGTAGGTGCTTCCTTCTGGATGAGTCCCTGTGTTTTTTAACTCCAGTCCCTTTCTCTTCCAGTGAGTTGCAGCTGGTATTGCATGACAAATCGGACAGTCTAGCCTTGCTATGCAAACCACCGTCCATGGGCTGGCAGTTCCGGTATCACCTAGGAGCTTGTTAATAGTTTAGAAGCTCGGAGTAATCCCAGACTTGGCCAGTCTGGGATTCTGCATTGTAACAGGAGCCCTGGGTAGTCATTCGCCTATTAAAGTTTGAGAAGACTGGTCTAGAAACGCATAAGCCTGCACGGTGTGGAATTGAACTTCTGTTCCTAATTCCATCCCTGATTTACATTTTGGAAAGATCCCTTACTGTTTTTCAAGAATCTCCATTTTTTTCTCCTTTATGAAATAAAAATAGTTTTCCTCTTCCTTGGCAAAGGCTTGGCAGCTCGTTGAGGTAGCTTGGAAAGTGCCTTATGCGGTAGAGGGAATGGAAGTCCTGTTATTTCACCCAAGAATACTAAGATAGACTCTTGCACATAAATGCACTGGAAACACTTGATTGTCAGACAGAATTCATTTCTTGTGCTGCAGAAGACCAGGGAGGTGGAAGTGATGGACTTGGCTTCACTTTCTAGCATGAGACAGACCAGCGGTCTTTGTTGGCAATCTTTTTCCTGCTCCTTCTACAATCTGGTAAAATACGATAAATAACCTAGTGCTTCCTAATAGGATATTATAATGTAGAAAAATATTTACATAAAAACACAAAAGGGAGATTTTAAAACATTGCTTTATGCAGAAGCTCCATAAAGGCACGTGGTTAACATACCAGGACTACCCTCTCTGGAGGGACTGGGAAGACTCTCACCTGTGCTCTGGGGTCGGGTGTAAGTTGAATGCTGCTATGTGCTTATACCCTTTGGGTCTTTTGTTGTCCTCTGAATTCTGTTTACCATCTTCTTCCATTATTATTGGATGTTCATTTTATGGCCCTGTGAAGGCCTAAGCACCAGCCATTAGCGCAGTAAAAACAATACAAAGCTCCTAGGTGGATCATAGACATGGTTGGATCAGAGGTATGTCCTCTGAGTATTTAACAATATATTGTACGTCTCTCAGATTATGACACAAAAAAGCCGAGAGGGATATTTTCTTGACTCCCAATATCATCATTTATTATTTTATTGTCCTTATGTTTATGGGCAATTCTGGCATCCCATTATTAGAGGTCAGAATTATGTATAGTCTTTCAGTTTCAGGTTTACCCTGAGAAGGGGTGGATAGTTAGAGGAAAGAACACAACAAGAACGTTTACCTTTTAGGTTTCCCCCATTTCCTCAACAGTTTTAAACTTATCCAAGCATACATGCTCCTTTCCATTATCTCCAGTTTCTAAATGAATTCAAATAGAGAGTGTTTTTTGAAGATTATTTGGTCATGTTTTTGGTGGATTCTGCATTAACTTTCAGTAATCCCACAGGTCCACTTTATCTGTGTATTAATTTTAGAGTTCCACTATTTCTTGGGGGACTGGAAAGTCAAGTTGTACATGCAACACACACACATACATACACACACACACAGTTACACACACGCACATACACCACATATACATACCACACACACATCACACATGTGTATCCTATGCACACACAACATGTACACACCACACCACATACACACATACACACCACACATGCATATCACATGCATACACCATACCACACACACACACACACACACCACACATGCATTATATACATGATGCATTACAAAAAAGACCATATACATTACACACAGAGACACCACATACAAATAGATAACCACACACACATACCCCCACACAAACCCATATTCTTATGATTAATGTTCCCATTTAAGTCAGGGAAAGGAATGTGTATTGGGGAGAAAGATAATTTCTGATATTTTTAACAGCTTCATTTTACATTCTTATAAGCAATGTATAAGGGTTCCAATTTCTCCATATCTCTGTCTATTTTTATTATTGTCTGTCTTTAAAATTTTAGCCTAGTGGGTACAAAGTAGTATCTCATTGTGGTTTTGATTTGTATTTATCTAATGACTAATGATGTTAAGCATCTTTTCATGTGCTTTTTGTGGAAAGACTCACTTTTGATGTGTGTTAAGTGTGAACCAAAAGTTCTAATTGTATTCAAATGCAGTTTTGAATATCTCCCCCTTTTTGGAGTCTGTTTTGGTAGAGAGCAAAGAGGTTTGCTGACCAGTATTTTAAGTTAGTTGTAAAGTTTGTTCAACATCTTTGCCCTCTATTTTATGAAAAAACATTGGGAACACCTATGGTAGCTTTCTGACAATAGATGAGGAAAATTTAATTATCGCTTAAAGATTTCTAGTCTTCTACGTAAAAACTGTAAAGAAAGTCAAGTTTGCTTGATTTTGAAACCTTCTGTTAATATTGTATGCTTTACCCTCTTCTTTGGAGAGGTCCCTTTTTTCAGTTCTTCTTCATGCCATACTTTGTAGATGGCTCTCTATCAAGCTTCTCTGTGAAGCACATAGACACTAAAAAGTAATGGTGGAAAAGAAATCTTGCTATGCATCTTTCTTAAATTTATTTTCAGGGAATGAAGGAATAAAGGACGAAAGTTCTTAGTGGGATATTGAAGCGATATTGAGAGATGAAGACTTTTCTTTGGTAATCTATATTATTTGGGGTCCTTTCAGTTGTATGTGACTGAGATCTACACTGAGAGTAATTTAACAAAAGGCAACATTTTGGCTCCTATTAACTGCAAGGACTCCAATAGAATCACCAAGATCCATGTTTCAGCTGTATCCTGTTGATTGGCTCCATTCTTATGATTCTTGGGGTGCTCCCTGGAAGCTTCTAGCTCATATCATCACTGTTTAGGAGAAAAGAGAGATTGGTTCCCTGGAGCCTCAAACAAATTCTCAGAACTGAGTCTTCCTGGCCCCAGTTGGCCTGACCTGAGACACATGCTCATCCCTGAATCAATGACTGTGGCCAGCATGGTGGAACTGCCATTAGCTTAGCCTCGGTCATGTGGTCCCTTCTGGATCCTGTGTGGTGTCACTTCACTGGAAGCATTTGGGCTGAGGCTAGCAATTTGTAGTTAAGAAGTGGGGGTAGAAGTATGTGGCAGGATGAGGAATGATTATTATTTGCTCAAAGCCACAAAGATCAGATGGAGATTCCTTCTTTCAAAGGGCAGTTCTAAGAAGGACATTAAAAACTCATCAGGAACAATGGTTCTCAAGCTTTAGGTTATGTATTAGTTTGCTAGGGTTTGCTTGTCTCACCACTATGTTTTAGAAGCAGCTAACTTGTTTCACAGATTCACAGATGGAGAGGAATTTTGCCATACGATGAATCATTCTCTGAGTCTCACCAATACCACATTTAGACGATATTTGGATTAGATTTTGGATTTAGAATTGATGTTGTAGTGGGTTAAGACTATTGGAGATGTTGGGATGGGGTGAATGCATTTTACATGTGAGAAGGACATGAATTTGGAGGGAGCTAGATGGTGGACTATTATGGATTCAATTGTGTCCTTCCAAAATTCTCATGAAATCTTAGTTCTGAAGTACCTTAGAATGTTACCTTATTATAACTGAGGTTGTTGCAGATGTAGTTAGTTAAGAGATGTCAGGAGGCTGAGCTCCTAATCCAATTCAACTTGTATCTTTATAAAAGAGTTTGAACACAGAGATATATGCACAAGGAAAACACTCCATGAAGATTAGTTTTGCTGCCACAAGCTAAGGAACTACCAAAATATAGAAGAGAGTCCTGGAAAAGATCCTTCCATTGTGCCTTCAAAGGGAACATGGCCCTGTCCTAACAAAGTACCATAAACTGAGTAGCTTCAACAACAAAAATTTATTGTCTCACACCTCTGGAAGTCAGAAGTGTGAGATCAAGGTGTCAGCAGGGCCTTGTGTTAGGATCATAGAATCTAATGTTCTCAACTTGATTTTAACTGAGTTTATTGTTTTTTTTTTTATTTTAATAGAAGAAACAAAGTTGTCTGAAGATGATGAGATGGAGAAACTCTACAAATCATTAGAACAAGCCAGTCTCTCTCCCCTTGGGGATCGTCGACCTTCAACTAAAAAGGAGTTGAGAAAGTCCTTTGTTAAGCGATGTAAGAATCCATCCATAAATGAGAAACTTCACAAAATCCGAACCTTGAATAGCACATTGAAGGTAAAAAAAAAAAAAAAAAACAAATTCTGATTGTGGATGAACTCTGTGGATATGGGTCAAGGCTGGTTCTGTAGAGAGAATCATGTTCACCAGAGTGTTTGTATGAGTAGAGGGGAGGGCAGTAAAAGCAAATACAATCCTCTGTAGGGTCAGATGACCTTGGGCATCCTTAAAGCACTAGAACATTCACATAGTAGCACCCATTGCACTACCTACATTAGGCCTTGATTTTTGCATTCACTTTGGTCTAAAAGTTCAAATGCTAAGCTCCTAGACCCTTTACCTACCATGATAAATGTTAATGAGGGCTTAAAATAGTTTGTGAGAATAAACAGTAATATTAAATAAGATCTTGGAATTTCACCTGATTCATTAAAGAGTGCCTTTCTTCTCCTACTACATCCAGAAGAAAATCTCTAGATTTCAGATCGAGCCAAGACTTCATGATTCTCAGCCTTAGGCTTTGGAGCCAGAACATGCCATGAAAGATGGTCAATGGAAAATGTATGGTAGATTGTAATAGGCCAGCAGATGTTTTCACAGTGGGAATGGGGACAGGGTACAAAACATACTGAAGTTATTTTCAGCGCCTCCTGAACTAAAATGGTTCTTCATAACAAAAACATCTTGCTTTCACATGTAGACTATAGCATGAAGAGGAAGAGGTCAGGATACTTTGTAAAATAGTCTCAAATTGGCAGAAGATTTATAGATTCTGAATAGCCTTGATAGATTCTGCAGTTTAATTTGATTTGTACATGTCCTTTTGCATCAAGAATTTGAGTTTCTTTCTAGGAAGAAATACCAACAATCAAAGGACAAGGCTACAAAGAAATGGCTGGGTGATTCTTGGTCAGATGTTGCTGTTAGTTGGTAGAATAGCTAAGCACCCAAAAAGGCTGCAAAAAATGAGGCTGAAAGAGAAAAGGCAAAGGAGTATTTTCATTATATAAAGAAAATCTAAATGCAGAGAAATTCTCCAATGCTTAATGATGAAAGACATCAGTTGCATTCCTTTCAAGTCCAAATATATTATATCCCATGATAAGTATGTAGTTGATAAATACATTTGGTCATTCAATGTAATATACCATAGCATGTTGGGAAATGTTGGGGCTGGTGAAACGTAATCAATGTTATGTGGTCCTATGAACCTCATTAGGAGATAGGAAGACACACTGATGTAGAAATTGGCCTTCTTGGATTAAAAAAAAAAAAAAGCTAATCAACCTATTCACTGGAGAAAGATAATTTGGTACCTGTTTGTTTCTTCATGTCAGAAGGCTATAAGAATTATTTTAACTACCTGTAATTGAATCAAATTTGATCATAATTATCGTTTAAATTCAGAACAGTCAGGGTAGTCATTGCCTTTAAAGAGGAGGGAAGATATTCCTAGGAGTAGGGCCACAGAACAGCTTCTGAGGTGCTGGGTAGGGTACCCTCTAGCCTCACAGGGGTTACACAGATGTATCCATCTCATCATAATTCATTAAGCACAAAGATTTCTATATGTGCATTTTTGTCTATGTATATTACATTATGATATAAATGTCTATTTTAAAAAATACTTCAAAACTATAGTGTGAGCCAGATAACATAGTTTCATGAAGAAATAATGAAACTGTTTTAGCAATAATGTTTATATTCATGATAGGCACATTTCATAAATAAAGAAAACCCTTACACTGGGATTACACTGGAACAAAGTCTCTTTATGGAAATTCTAGGAAGTTGAGCAAACCATCTGGTCATACCCTAAATGCAGATCTTTAGGAATATCTGATAATTCAACATCCATTGACTTTTGGCTAAGCGTGTCTTTTTTTTTTTTTTTTTTAATGAATAATTAGGGTTGCCCGGGTGCCTCAGTCGATTAAGTGTCTGCCTTCAGCTCAGGTCATGGTCCTGGTGTCCTGGGATCGAGCCCAGCATAGGGCTCATTGCTCAGTTCCTCTGCTTCTCCCCCTGCCTGGGCTTGCTCTCTCACCCTCTCTCTCTTTCTCTGTCAAATAAATAACCCTCTCTCTCTTTCTCTGTCAAATTAATAGGTAAAATCCTTTAAAAAATAATAAAATGAAGAATTAATGGATCCAACTGAAACTTGGTCTCAGGCCTATTCTAGTCTGTGTCAAAAGAGGAATGAACCTTCCTTTCCCCAATTTCTGTGGTAGAACCCATTTTTCAATGCTTAGATCTTAAGTCAGGTCATGTGTGTACTGACTGTTTGGAGTGAAAAAGGAAAGTAGAGCATTGTCTCTCTCATGGTATTTCCTGGAGGCCCTGCCCAGCCTTGCCTACCAGAAGGCAAGGAGGATGTTGTAAATGTAGTTCAAAGTGTCTGGTGAGCCTGCTGTACTGCAGGGGAGAGGCAGGGGCAATGCACCATGGTGCTGACTGGTACGCTTTGCTGGTTAGCATTATAGAGCCTGCTGTCGTTTCATTAACTTCCTTCCTTTCTAGTCTTGTCTACAGTTACTTCTTTCATCCGTGAAAGAACTTAACACAGACTTGAGCCAAACTGGTAAGAAATTTGAATTCTTTAGGGCTGAGAGGCATAGGAGAAGTGTTAACCCAAAGTTGAAAAGACCTTTTTTTAAAACCTTTGATCAGATTTAGAGGGGTGGTTAATTCATTTTGCCTTAAGAAAACTAGTTCTTCAAATTTTGTTTATCTGCAAATATCTTATTTAATTCTTTCAATAAAATGTTAGGATCGCTCTCTGAAGCAGGTGTCAAAATTTTTTTTGTGTGGAATAAATTGTAATTTTTTTAAAAGATTTTATTTATTTATTTGACAGGCAGAGATCACAAGTAGGCAGAAAGGCAGGCAGAGAGAGAGGGGGAAGCAGGCTCCCTGCTGAGCAGGGAGCCTGATGCGGGGTTCGATCCCAGGACCCTGGGATCATGACTTGAGCCGAAGGCAGAGGCTTTAACCCACTGAGCCACCCAGGCGCCCCTAAATTGTAATTTTTAACAATTTTTTAAAAATGATTTATTTATTTGAGAGAGAAAGAGAGACAGAGAGAGAGAGAGAGACAGAGCGAGCAGAAAGCCAAGGCAGGAGAAGGGTAATGGGGGAGAAGAGGGAGAAGCAGGGCTCGATCCCAGGACCCTGAGATCATGACCCAAGTTGGAGGCAGATCCTTAACTGACTGAGCTACTCAGGTGCCCCTTTAATAATTTTTATTGAGTTTTTAATTTTCATTCCAATATAGTTAACATACGGTGTTATATTAGTTTCACGTGTATTATATAGTGATTCAACACTTCCATACATTCCTCAGTGCTCATCATGAGAAATGTCCTCTTTATCCCCATCACCAATTCATCCCAGATGTTGAAATTTCCAAGAACAAAGTCAAACTCCTTAAACAACTTCCTATGAATAGCACTATGGTGGTATTAAAGGATGAAAGTTCATTTTTTGAGGAAAAGATGGTAATTTGAAGTGCAGATGTGAGAACTCAGAGGGAAGAAAGAAAATTCTCTTGGCCTTGCTTGATTTTCTACAAGCAATCTTTTCTCGTTACCCACTTACTTAGCCTGCCTTCTCTCTGCTTCCTGCTCTTGGTCAGCCTGCTTATTATCACTCTTTGGTTACTTTCCCGCTACACAATTTTTCTTTCCTTCCTGAAATCCAAATATATATTTTAACCTCCATCTATCACCACATTCTTGCTCTCTTGATTCAAAATTGTAAATCTTACCACTCAGATACTGTATATGTGTAGTAAAAAAAAATTTAAAAAAGTAGAAAAAGAGAGAAGAAAATGTAATAAAATGCCTTAAGTAAAACATAAGTTAAAGATAATTGTAAGGAACAAATAATACATTTTTTAATGTCAGTGTTCGTGATCATCTAAGACCAAGTCCTTTATTTGGGTAGAAGAAATGTTACCAATTCTAGAATCCCAAAACTATATACAAATGTATAGATATAAATATCTATCTATGTATTAATATATAAACAAATATAAAATATATAATAAATAATATGTGCGTAAAACACACACATACATATAACCTTTTTTTGTTTGCTTACAAAAGGGATTTCTTCAAGGTTTTAAATAGGGTTCATGATACAAAAAATGGACAATTATTCATTCACATTTTATTTAATGCATTCATTTTTAAAATATTTTATTTATTTGTCTGACACAGAGAGAGCACAAGTAGGGGAAGCTACAGGCAGAGAGAGAGAGGGAAGCAGACTCCTCTCTGAGCAGGGAGCGGGTTCCATCTCAGGACCCTGAGATCATGACCTGAGCTAAAGGCAGACACCTAATGATGGAGCCACCCAGGCAATCCAACATATATTCATTTTTCTACAACAAATATTTAGTAAAGTTTTGTTTAGTAAAGCCGTGAGTATATCAGACAAAAATGCCTGCCATTAAGAAGCTTACATTTGGGTACTAGAAGAAAATGAATTTTATAGATGCTAAGTGATGATAGATTTGATAGAGAAAAGGAGGATGAGGAATGCTGATGGATTGATTTTTAATTAGGATAGGCATGAAAAGGCTCTTTGAAAAGTAGAATTGGAGTAAAATCTGAGAAAGGAAAAGGAGTAAGTCTTGATGCAATCCAAGGCAGAAGGCTACAGGCAGAAAGAACAAAAATGCAAGTGTTTTGGGATGGGAATATGCCTACTAGGCTTGAGGAAGAGCGAGGAGATCGTGGCTGAAGTGTTGCAGGAGAATGGGGCATAGGGAGATGGTCCGAAGGGTGGGTCAGAAGGGTGATGAAGGATTATAACATACTGTGCCTTATTGCCATTGCCAATACTTTAGCTTCTACCCAGTGATATAGGAAGCCTTTGGAAGGTTAGGAACAGAAGGGTGCCATAGTTTGACATATTTTGAAGGGAGAACTTGGGACTTGCTGGTGGATTGGCAGTGAGAGCAGGATGACTGCAGTATTTGGCCCGAGCTACAGGAAAGGTGGAGTTGCCATTAGGTGCTTTGCAAAAGACCGTGATAGAAACAGGCTTCAGTGTGTATTGGAACTTGGGATGGGCGGGGCCTATAGAGAATAATAGGAGCTTAGTTTTGAAGATTTTATTTTTTTGTTTATTTAAGAGAGGTAAAGTGAATACTTGCACATGTGGGAGGTGGGGCAGACAGAGAGGGAGAGAGAATCTGGAGCAGGCCCTGCACTGAGCAGGGAGCCCCACACAGGGCTCAATCCCACGACCCTGAAATCATGCCCTGAGCCAAAACCAAGAGTCGGTCACTTCACTGACTGGAACCACACAGGCACCCTAATAGGAGCTCAGATTTGGACATGTTGTATTTGAGATGCCGGTATGTGTCCAGGGGGAGCTGCTGAAGAGGAAGTTTAGACAAACCAGTATGGAGTTCAGAGGAGAGACAAGCTTTGCCAGATAAATTTGTGATCCTTAGTATATAGGGAGAATGGGAAACCTGAGATTACATAGGATTAGCAAGAACGCAGTTATACGTAGAGGAAAGAAGAGGCTAAAGTCTGGGTTCTGGAGCTCTCCAATGTTCAGAGATTGGGCCAGAATGAGGAATCAACAATGGGGAGTAAGAGTAAGTGGCCATTTTGGGATGAGAAAAATCAAGAAAATGTGTCACAGAAATGGCATGATGAAAGTGTTCAAGAAGGAGCAGTCAATAGTTTTAGATGTTGTTGATAAATAAATTGAAGGTAAATAGTTATTGGATTTAGCAACATGGGGGTCACTGATGACCCCAACAAGAGCAGTTTTGGTTGAATCCTGATGGAGTGGGTCTCTGAGATAGAATGGGCACGGTGGTGGGGAGAGGAATATTGAAGACAAAGAGAAGAGTGGAGCATTCCCTCCAGCAGAGATGTGGGGTTGAAAGAGGGCTTCAAAGATGGGAGAGGTGACGGCATGTATTATGATCAAGTGAAGATGGGAAATTAAGGAGTCACAGGAAAGAAGGGAGAACTGTGGGAGTGAATTTCTTGAGGATGCAAGAGTGGGTAATAATGCACAAATGGAGAGCTTGGCCTTTGCTAGGAGCACAGAGATTTCATCCAAAAGAATAGTAAGGAAGACTGAGATGTACCTGTCTTGATGTAGGTAGTAGGCAATGGGAACTTGGGAGAAGTGTTGTTCTGATTGTTTCCATTTCCTCAAAAAAAAAAAAAAAATAGTAAGGTCATCTGCTCTAAAGGAGAATAGGGGAGGAGGTTTGAGTAGAGATGAAAAGTTTTGAAATAGTAATTTGGGAGACTGGGAGAGAAAAGGAGTGGGAAAATATGACTACTGGATAGTAGTAGTAAAAGCCACTTAATGGCGGTGGTCATGAATTTGAACTGCCACCAGTGAATCTAATTGTGAATTTTTAGCTACACACATGCTGGCCTGGGGATAGACCAAAAGATTGGCTCAATATTAAACATGTACTGGATGTCTCCCTGGAACTCGGTGTTGTGTTAGGTGCAAGGAATACAGGGATGAATAAAATGCTTTCTGTCACCTTCCTTAAAGCGCTTTAGAATAGGGAGTATGACAGATCCATGTGCATTGAAGTATAACATGGCAAGTTCTAAGTATTGGAAGACACAAGAGCATAAAAAAAGCTTCTCAGTCCAATTTAGAAGTTCAGAGATTTTCTGGAGAACATGATGTCTGAAGTGAGTATAGATTTATGAGGCATAGTAAATTCTGGTAAAGAAAGATTGGCAAGTGTTCCATGTGAAAGCAACTCTAGAAAGTAGAGTTCTCCAGAAGAAAGGTAAGGAAGGCCACGTGGTGCAGCATCACGGAGTGTGAAGTGGCATTATGTGGCAGAATGCATACCACCACTGTTGGAGCAGGAAGTGAGAAGGATCAACAGGTGAGCTCAAGGCCACAGAACCTTGGACACGAAGGGGAGCCATTACGAGGACCCCAGATTTGAGGTGGAGGCCCTGCACTGCCAAGAGAATGGTGGATTTAAAGGGAAGATTGGAGGCAGGGTCACATCAAGTGTGAGGAACTGCACTTTGTACCCCAAGTTAGGATTATGGTCAAAGGGATGGAGGAAACAAGAATAGATTTGAGATTAAACTGTCAGGATTAAATGATCTTTTTTGAAGGTGGAAGCTGTTATACTTCATTTTTAACCCATTTGACTACAAAACATTCTCCTCACCTGAGCCAGGCGTTTCAGAAATGTGTGTTATTGGTTATGGAGGACACAGGGTAAAATAACGTGAATAGATTTGTTTGCTCTATTAGCATAATTGGAACATATGCTGTTTTGATGGAAGGTTAGTAGTCTTTTTTTGAATAAAAAGCCTATATATTTATTCGGTATATATTAATTAAATACATGTGTGTGAGTTACCAAAAAAGAGGACAATTTAATAAAAATAAAAATATATTATCTGATGTCTTAGGGATAGTGTTATGTCCCAATTCTACTTAGTGAAGTTTGGGTAGGTCAATGAAATGATGATACAATACGATTATAAGTTTCAGAAGGAATAAGGCTCACTCTGAGATAGAAATATTACTGAGGTGTGGAATAAGGATTGGACAGGGAAGAGCCACATGGAAAATCCTGTCTATACATCTAGTTCTTCCAGCAGCCTTCACGTAGGACACTTAACTTCTTTTTGACACATACATGCAAATGGTTGTCCTGCCATATCTCTTAGGCTTGGTTAGGGATTAGAATATTAGTGTGTAAAAAACCTTGATAATTTTATGATGAATGTATATGTGTACTTGTAAAAGGGCTAAAGAGGGTTTATCGAAATTAAGATACTGACTATATCTCACACCCTCCTCTGACTTTTTTTTTTTTTTTCTTCCCCTAATGGGGCAGTGTAAAGAACATGACCTGGCCATGATTAACCAGTTGCTGGATGATCCAAAGCTGACAGCCAGGAAATACAGGGAGTGGAAGGTGATGAACACACTGCTGATCCAGGATATCTATCAGCAACAGCGGGCCCCTACGCCTGCCCATGAAGGCACCTCCGAGGGACTTGAGGAACCACCTTCCTCTGCCTGTGTTGAAAATTCTATTTGAGAACAAGCCAGCATTCTCTCCCCTGCTATCTTACCCCCAAGTGACTCTTCAAGAAGTTGCAAGAGCTTTCCATCAAAGGAAAACTGAAACCAGGTCCTCAAGCATTGGCTCCTTCTCTAAAGAAGCAAGTGAGGTGAGGACCCACTCTGACGGCAGCAGGACTCCTCGTTCCAGTTGGAGTACTTTCATCGAGACTGGAGGGATGGAGTCCAGTTGAACAAACTTTGTGTTCCTGCTTGGAGCTCTCGGTTATGCTAAGCTTTAAGTGGGAAGTGAGAAGTGTATGTTCCTTGCTCTCAAGAGAACCACGGTGTTCAAAGAACAAAGATCACATTTTACCAGGGATAATTATTCATAGAAATGTTCTGTTTTCCAAAAAAGAAGAACGTACATAGTCCCCCGGCTTCGGTAGTTTAATTCTTCAAATCATTTCTTGGAGTGGAGGAATGTGTTTCACAGCAGAAACTGGAATGGGACAAATGTGGTTTTTTGGAACCCAAATCTCTCTGGAGTAGTGGTGCCTTTTCTACAAGCTGAGAAATACTTCGTGGTGATTGGTGTGTGGGAGAGCCCAAGGGGGAGGCATGTTCTATTGAGCACCCTCTCAAAGTACAGTTTGATGTTTCTACACTTGACTCAGGGGTGGGGCAGGGAGGATCTGATTAAAGTTTCATTTTCACAGAACAACTAAAGAAATCTATCTCATTGTGTGTAGAGACCTCCACTTCCTCCTAGCTTTTCTAATCCACTGCAGGAGATAGAAATAAGTCCACCAAGGAATGCTTGCTGGTTTTGTCTCGGAGAGTGGTGCCTAGACACAGTGCCAACATATATCCTGCCTCCCCAGATCAAGATGGACAAAATAATTCTGGTGTCTGAATGAGTTTGATATCTTTACTCCAAAAACACCCAACAAAAACAACAAAAGACTTAAAATATGATTGTTTTATTTTTGTATGTTTGTGTCACCTTGTGTCCTATGTGAATAGCTATCTATAATATGTTTGTTATTTAAGTATATTTATAGAAGGTCAAATTACTAGTGTTTTAAAAGATGGTAAAGTAATTATATGTTTTGCTCAATATATATTCTCCAAGTATATACTTTTTTGCTTGAGAAAATAGGAATACTGTTGATCACTGGAATTATTATGTTGCACTATAATGTATGAGGAATGCTCAGGCTATCTTGTGGGATAAATGTGGAGGCATGTATTAATAATTATTCATTTTCTGGCTTCTCTCTCTCTCTCTCTCTCTGCCCTTCTTTCTCAACCCAGAGTGCTCAGAATTCTGTCACTCTCTTAACCAGAAAAGGACATTCACCTTAGGTTATTTCTTTTAGTAAATAGACTTTTTAAGCTTTATGCCATTTATGCCCACAAACCCTAAACCAAATGAAACACAACTAATGTAGTCTTTTGTCTAAGGTCTAATAGAAATTTTGGGGTTTTCTGTTAAAAAGAACTCATTTTATTAGAGAATATGAAAATCTTCCCTTATTAATCACCAGGGATATTTTTCATCTTACGAATAACCACAACCCACCAAAAACCCATTTTGCCCTTATCCCTAGCTAACTGTCAGCCCAACATGGGCGTGTTTCAGAGAGTCAATGTGTGGCTTGACATTCAAATGGAAATAACCCACTGAATTTTATTTGCAGACTAAATGGAAAGAGTCCTTAAAGGTTTCCCCAAGCTTTACTCAGAAGTGTTCATACTTTGTAAACAAAAACAACCTTAGTATTAAGAAAGAAAAACAACAGGAAACGAGTCAGAGTATTGTAAGTTTTTCTGTAAAATCAGAGGGGATGCCTAGCCAACCTTTAGGAGCCCCTGCTCCTAGTGGGATGTTCTGGGGATGTGCTGGGGGAAGGACACAGGCTACACAGAAGCAGGGGCTTGGCTTCCAGTGAATTTGCTCTTGGCTTTGCTGCTGGAGAGAAGGAACCATGTAGGTCCTCAGATGGGACCCCGAAACTTCTGCTTTGAGAGGCCAGTGCTTTCATCTCGTTACTCTGAGAGTTATCATTGACAATTTCTACAGTTAGCAGCTGTTAGAAGGTTCATTGTTTAGGATTCACGATGTCAAGGAAATGTTGAGGGAAGAAGTACTAATGGAAGAGATAATTGTTGGGCAAAGTTCTCTTCCACAATTTTTCCCTCAGCTTGAGATACCAACTTAGAAACTTCAAAATAGTCTTTAAATTGAAGTGTTTTAGAGAAGCTTTTGGCCAGGCCTTGTGAATACATGTCAGTGCTTTGCTTTGGCTTCTCAGTAAGACACACATAACTCACCCGTTAGTGTAAAGTCCTTTAGGAGCGCTCAAACTTGAAGGCAAAATGGGTCCATGAGATTACTGAATTGAATCTTTCAGTTATTTTTCAAAGTCATCAGTCCAGAAATGTTGGCTTTGTGAAAGCACTTACCCCACAGAATCTCCCCAGAGGTTCAGACCAAACTGCTTAGTCTTGTATTCCCTCTTCTAGACCAAGCTTTCCTGCTTGTCAGTGTTTCCTCCTCTGTAAATGCTTCCACTCTGCATTACCTCGTGTTAGGAAGTAGGGGACTGCCTCTTTGAAGTCTCAGCATCCCCTGTGGCCCCTGAGAGGAAGTAGGGTGGGAAGCAGTAGGAAGTGACAGGCAGAGTGGGTGAGACCTTCCATTCCACTCAGTTTAGGAATAACCCTGCCATTTTTCTGGTGCAAAGGATATTGGGAAAACTGGATTACTTCCAGTTTATTCCTGGGAATTGGGGCATCTCAGAAATGGATTTTGGGTAGTTTCATGGGGGCTTAAGGGGTGACCTCTTTCCCCACCACTCCTGTAGACATAGGATCTGAGGGCTGTGGAATGACCCAGAACCATGGCTGCTCCGGAAGCAGAGGATCTGAGCAAAATCAGGTCCAGCCCTGTGGCACCTGCTGTGGATTAGGATCTGGATGGGACACCTCTTTGGGGCTGCAGGGACAACCCCTCCTCTCTTCGATGAGCCTGTAGACCCAGACTATGCCTGGTAGGGTACCTCCATGACACACTCTCAGTGTAGCATCAAAGACCCAGGATGAATCATAATGTATACAACTGCAAAGACTCTAGGAAGCCTAAGAAAGATGGTGTTTGCAGTCAGATTTCAATGTGAAACCCAAGCCTTACATTTATGTAGCACTTTGTAGTTTGCCAATCTGTATGTTCAGGCTCCCCCCAGTTTGCTCCCCAGTGGTCTTTGCGGGGATGATGGTGGATTATCATTCCTCCTTTTTTGCTGGGGAGGATATTAGCTTCCCTAAACTCCCTTTCTCTCCCTTTCTCTTGCACAGTTATTGTTGGACCCCAGTCCCATGACGTGGGGTTTATGTATGTGCATTGCACTGGACCGGGCACACCTGTGGGGGCTTTTGTGAAGTCAGCCATGGGAAACCTGAGGGGGCCTCTTTTCCTTGAGCACAGTCTCTTTCTCAGGGCTGAAGGGCAGCTGTCCCTTCTGCAGCCACAGGCTTCTGGGCTGACTGGATTGTGGTGTGACCTAGTCACTCTGTGCTTCCTTTCCTGCCTTCTGGAAATTAGACTGCTTGTTAGGTACTGTGAGATCCTTGGATGAAAGAGGTAGTTAAAGAAATGGAATTCATTTATTTTCTTTTACAAGCGTGTCAGGAGACATCAGAGATGGAGCCTCAGGAATAGGGTAAGATTCTCCACCTTCGTCTCCTGATTTCTTCTCCTGCAATTATGGTAGCTTCCTCAGACAGACTTGAAATGACAGTACCACAAAGCTGAAACAGAAAACAAATACACTCTAAGTCTTTTGAGGAGAGGTACTAGACAAATTCCAGCCATATTTAAATGCATGGACACACACCTCTTTTAAGATACTCTCCTTGAAAGATAATATTTTGATATAGAGCCACACAGTAGATTTAAGTGAGTAATTTAGGTACAGAGGATGCCTATCCAAAACAAGCCAATATAATAAAACTAACCAAGAACTTTTGGCTAGTTTTAGTATATGCCTCTTCTTCAGTCTAATAAAATACGATATTTGAGATTTTCCATTTTATTTTCCTTCCAGTTTTTTTGTGTGCTTACCTCACAAGAGAAATCGAGTCCTAGAAACGTCAGGTGACCTCCCTGCTAGGGTTTTGTAATGTGTAATTAAAAGGGAAAGCCCCTGAAACTAGGTTTTAACAACCCATATGAAATGGGTGAGAGGAGGAATAATTCTAACCTTCAAAGTATGCCACCCCTCCCTGTGAGCAAAATATCAAACAGCTCCCTGCTTTTCTTCGTTGGGAGACAGGAAACCGTTTCTTTGCTTCCTCTGCATATTTTTCCCCTTTCCCATACTACCACAGACCACAGAAAATATGAAAAAATGATTCTACATTTGCAAAGGTTCTTCCATATCTCTTCTCGTGAGACGTAACGGCTCTGTATTGGTATTTCTTTGTGTTGAGTCCAAAGGGGAAGCATGCTCTGTGGAGACATTAAGCATCCCATAATAAACACCAGTATCTGTAACCATCATAGACGTCAATGTCCTTGCATGATGGGGATGTGATTTTTAGCACTGCATGGTGTTCGGGGCAAGACAACAATGTGGAAATGATCTCTCCAATTTCATTGTGCTTTCATTCTCGGTCACCTGTCCTCTTCGAACTGGAAAAAGAGGCATGGCTCATTTCTTCGGCTTTATGTGTTTGAGATTGACTTGTAAGATATAAATAAAAACAAGAGAAAATATATGTAGTAAAATGACATGGAAAAAAATGGAAATTTACTAGTGGTGTTCGTTTTCTGTCCTGCTGTGTTGCTTCCTCCAAGAACAAATTTGACTAGGAAGGGTTTGACAACTGGGCTTTTAGCTTCTGCAAAGGCTGTGGTGCCCTCTGGTGGCCATTGTAAGAATAACGGATCTAGACTCGATGTTTTTATTTTTAAATGCAGCATTTAATTATGTTGGGAAATGTATTTCAGTAATAACTGATCTGCTCTTCTCCAGAGGTCCTCAGCTTACAGGCTTGTTAGTAAAAAGGTATATTTTTCAAAATTGTTGGTCCACAAAATGTGGCTTGCACGTTACATACCCCTTATCATTACAAGGCACCCACATTTTGTTTAGAGAATTTGAAAAAAATTGCAGATCACAAAAATTAAGACCTGTGGCGCATATGTTACTTAAAATGCATAAGCTGTTTCTTTGTGAAAAATGAACAAAGAGAATATTGAAATAGCATAATAAATTGCTTTTATTTTGGATCACTGATGGGAGGAAATTAGCCTACATTTGAACTTGATTCACAAATCCTTGATTGCTGTCTACACAAACAAATAAGGAGTAATTTTTTCTCTCTCTTTCAGTTATCACTTCACATGTTAAGCCCTACCCTCTTTTTTCCTCCATCCAGCTACTACCCCTTATGTCTGGGCTCCCACACAGAAGCAGGAAAAATCCTAGACCAAACGGATCAGCAAAAGGTATAGGTACAGTGTATTTTTGATTTCTACAACAACCTTGTATTAGTTTTCTGTTGCTGCTGTAACAAATTACTGCAAATTTAGCAGCTTCAAAGAATGCGTTTTCTTACAGTTCTGGAGGTCGGAAGTCTGATAATGGCTTTCTTGGGCTAAAATCAAGGTGTTGGCAGGATTATTAGTTTTATGTATATCTCTTCTTCAGTCTAATAAAATATGATATTTGAGATTGCTCCAGGAGGAGAATACATTTCTCCTGGAGGCTCCATGGGAGAATACATTTCCTTCCCTCTCCAGAGCACCCATATTCTTTGCTTCTTGTTTCCTTTCCTCTGTCTTCAAAGTCAACAATATTGTATCTCTGTGCACCCTTCTTTCTAGCTACACCTTCTTTCAAGGACCCTGGTGATTATACTGGGTCCATTTGATTAATCCAGGACACTGTTTTTATGTCAGCTGATTAGCA